GACACTTTTCTCTTCTGCCTTTCTTTTCAGTGCACTACAGAGTTTGTGAGCAAATCAGGGCGGGAAGGACTCACACAGAGTCACCTCCCCCTCCCCCCCCCACTGTCCTTTCCAGGGCTCCGAGGGTGTCCTGCGCCAGCGCCCCCTAGTGGAGGGAGGCCAAAGACCCTTCCCCCTGAGACAGACCATGCCTAGTGCCCCCATCAGCGTCCTCATTTCTTCCCCTGGGAGGTTATTGGGGAGGGAAGGGGCTGAGCTATCTGAGCAGAGAGGCTGAGATGCGGGTCCAGGTACTCACGTGGGAGGTAGGGTATCTTTGTCCACCCTGCAGGGAACAACGTGAGGGGTCAGTGACTCATGTAATGCAGGGACCCCACAATGTGTGGGTCAGTGACCACCACTTACTGAGTTCGCCCTGTAGCTTCTCTGGAAATAAGCAGAAAGAGAAATTCATTTAAAGGGGATCGAATAGAGGACCTGCGTGGTGGGTGCGGGGTGGGGCTGGGAGGTGGCGACCACCTTGCAGCTGAGCCTCACCTTTGGCGCTTCGCTCCTGCTGCTTCTTGCCCTGAGCTGCTTCTTTCTCCGCCTGAGCTGCTGCTTTCTCCGCCTGAGCTGCTGCTTTCTCCGCCTGAGCTGCTTCTTTCTCGGCCTGAGCTGCTTCTTTCTCCGCCTGAGCTGCTTCTTTCTCCGCCTGAGCGGCTGCTTTCTCCGTCTGAGCTGCTTCTTTCTCCTCTCGCGCCCTCTCCTTCTCCTGGGACAGGGCCTGGATCTTCTTCTGCTGTCGCCACAGGAAGTAGCCCGCCCCCGCCAGGAGCCCCAACAGAGCCGGCAGGGTCACGCCCAGGGCCACCATCCAGGGCTGCGCGTCCTGGAAGAAGGGGCCTGCGGAGGGTGAGCCTCAGCTGAAGGCCACCTTGGGTCTCAGAGTATCTGGGGACTGAAAACAATCGTTCTCTCCCCAAAGTGCCCAGAACTTTCACTGGCACATAACACCGTTGTCTTGAAGTAACTGCCCCTCACATGGGAATATTTTGAATATAAAAGAACGTATATAAAGTCATTGGAATCTCTCCATGCTCCTCCCTCTGCCACTTATTATCTCCTTCTGGGTCACTTTATCTGGGGATTAAGAACGTGAACTTTGGGGCTGGAGGGTCGGGGCTCCAATTCTGGGTCTTCCACCTGACTAGCTCTGTGACCTTGAACTAATGACTTAACCACCTGTTCCTGATGTCCCGACTGGTAAGAGATTAAGTTAATGCTTATCCAGTGCCTGACTGGTTATAGAGTGAGGGCCATGCAAGTGTTGGTTAAATTTAAAAAACATTAATATAATTTTTATTTTATCTTGTTCACACCGCAGACATAACTCTACTCCAGCGGGTCCACAGGTTGTTCTCTCTGCTCCCCTGGGTCTGGGCGACCTTCCCGCCTCAGCACAGGGAGCAGGTCTGTGTCTGCTCTCATGGGGCAGCGCCCCCTGCACACACGGCCCCTCGGGGTCACTTGCACCGTCTCTGACTCTTTGTTAAAATGGTTAATGATACAGGAAATAACCTTTTCCATGGGTCATTTCACACAAATGCAGGCTGATCTGCCGAACTCCAGAAGCTGGAGTTTGGACCAATGATTAAGGATGTTGAATAGCAAATGCTTTATTACCCCTAGAGAAGGTATGAAAATATATTCCAAAAATATACCCAATAATAGCCACAGACATCTGAGAGTGACTGTCTCCCCACAATCCCACCATCAAGGGCCTTCCTTGTTTTGTGTTTTGGAGCTGGTCTCCCAGTGAGATTCCCCATCCTTTCCAGAGTCATTTCCTTTTCTGAACTGATAATTCCTGTTCTTTGCTTGTTGTTCTACTGGGTTGTTTTACAGATTAAGGATATCAGCCCCTTTTCTAAGATTTGCATTGTACATATTTTCCCCTTTTCTCATGTCTTTGCTGACCTTGACCATTTGTCCCCAGTTCCCATCCCCTGGCACCGTGTGTGGCCACAGGAAGTGCTCACAAGGTGTCTGTGACACAAACAGCTTCATGGGGAAGGAGCAGCAGGTCCCTGCTCTGTCCTTTCTCCTCCCTGCACAGACCCAGGTCAGCAGCAGACAACCACACCTTCCCCCAGGGCCACCCAGGAACCCAGGGCAGTGGGCAGGGCACTCACCTGGGATGGAAACCATGGCTGACCTCTCCTGGCCCAGCAGGGGGTTTCTGATGACACAGGAGACCCCCTCCCCAGAGCTGCCTCCCAGGATCACAGAGGCTGAGGCCGCATAAAGGCCCTGGGGGTCTGCAGCCTCTGTGTCCCCCTCAGCAGACAAGCTGTGTCCCCTGGCGTCTCTCCACTGGATCTGGGGCTGCGGGTACCAGCCGGCAGACGTGCACTGTAGACGGATCCCTGCAGTCCCATAGCCCTTCATTTCAAAGTGGGGGTCAGAGTCCAGTGCTGGGGAGGGACAGTGAGTCTGAATCCTGGGGAGCCCTCTGCACTGGTGGGGGTCTCCACAGCAGGGAGGGGCATACCCACCCTGGAGGAGACCAGCAGGGATTCACAGGAGCTGTTCCCAGAGTGTGCTGTGCAGGAGAGACTGACCCACAGCGTGACCACTGCCTGACCATCGCTGGACCCTCGTGCTGGATCCAGGAGGATCTGGGCCAGAGCAGACATTGCTTCCCCTGAATCCCCTTAGAGACAGCTGGATCCTCCCCTCCCCCATGGCCCAGACTTGCTGGTTCCTGGAACAGCCCCTCACCCCACCCTGGGCAAGCATGTAAACAGTTCTCCCTTATCTGAAGCAGGTCCCACCCCAGTGCCCCTATCCTTCCCGCCTGTCCCGTGTGAGCCTCAGCCCTGCCCTGTGTGGGGGAAAGATATGCGCTTGTCTTGCCGCCGCCCAAGCTCGGCATTGCGTGTAGGTCCCCTCAGTAAGGTCTTGCCGTAATTAATGCTACTGTTGTCAGCCTCCTTTTTGGGTCTCCAAACCCAGGGAAGTTGCTGGGATGTGGTTGTGAAAAGGAGACAACTTCCTCAAAGAACAGAGCAGACCCAGGGCCTGGGGCAGTAGAGCTGTTACTGCCTGTTCCTAGCCCTCAGCACCCAAGGGTGGGGGGGGAGCAGCCTGTGTGAGACCTGAGAGAGCAGAGTCCCTTGGGGAGGGGTTCCCTAAGAGGACCTGTGGTCTCCAGGGAGGGACAGAGTCTGGCTGACGAGGCCCTGCAGGGACAAAGCCAGGACCCCCACCTCCCATCACCCGCTGGGCTCCCAGTGCACCATCCAAGGCCGAGGACACATGGAGAGAGTGCAGTGCAGCCCTGACACCCGGACACGAGCACTTTCATGGGGCAGCACCTCAGACAAGGTCACTCTGTCCCTGGGACGGGACAGGACAAAGTCAAGACCACTCAGCAGTCGGTCTGAGCACAGAGGAAGCAGGAACAGTGTGCAGACCTCAGCAGTCACCACCCTCCCCTGTCCTGGCTGGGAGTGACCCATGACACCCCTGCACCTTCCTGACAGCATCCAGCCCAGAGCAGAGCCCTGCTTCCACATCCCCCCAAGTCCCCTGACAGCCCAGAGGTCACACCAGATCCTCCCTGACACCCCCTCTCTGAGACACCCCGGTTTCCTCCCCGGTGTGTCCCCCCTCCCTGCTCCAGGGATGGACACACCCTGTTCAACTGCACGTGTGTCCCGGGGCCTTTGGTTGGAGGGTGTGGGCACCACAGGTGCTGTCCCTGCAGCTCAGTCCCCTGGACCCACAGCAGCGGGCACCTGGGGGGCTCACGGCCACTGTCTGGGGCACACTGAACCCAAACACCCGAGTGCCCCCCACTGTGGGGGGGTGTCCTCCTCCTTCCCGTCTCCGACCTCCACTTCCCTGCTGAGACCTGGTGGGCGGAGTGAGGGACTCTTTACTGGATGCAGGAGGAGCCCTTCCTGGGGGATGACTTGGGTCTGTCACGGGCCTCAGAGGAACAGGGAGGGAGGCGGTGGGGGGTGCTGGTGAGGAGCCGAGAGTGCTCTCAGGTGGGCCTGGAGCCTCTGCTCTTGACTCTAGAGAAATGACCTTAGAGTAAACCTGAGGCTCACCTGCAACCTTCAGCTCCACCAGGGCATTTTCAGAGAAGTCTCCATCTCGGAAATAACACAGGTAGGTTCCTCTGTCAGATGCTCTGATGTCCCGAATCCAGAGAGCAGCCTTCCCCGCAGTGATGTCCTCTCTTAAAATTGAAGTTCTCCCTCGAAACTGTGCTGCCGGCGTGTCCTCCTGCCCGTGTGCAAACGTATGCACTACCTGCCTGGGGCTGGGTCGCTCCCACCTCAGTTCCATGGTCTCAGCACTCATGTTCGGGAACAGGTGACAGGGCAGCTCAGCGTCTTCACCCACCATGGCCAGGATGGGCTTGGGGGGTCCAACCACAGCAAAATGAGCTGGTCATCAGAAGGGGGGGCTCCGTCAGAGGGAGCTGGGGCCAGAGGACCAGGGGGTGCCCCAGCAGGGAGGGTGAGGGGAGAGACACCTAGACAGGAACTCAGTCCTCACACAGGTGTGGTCTGGATGACCTTGCAGGGGTGGGGGGAGTCCAGGGTTCTCACTGGGCTCAAAGGTAAAGGTTCAGGTGCACGAACGCAGAGCAGGTCCTACCTGAGCAGGGGCTGAGCAGCTGGACCACGGCAAGGCAGACAGGGAGGGCAGGCAGACGGGAGACCAGGTGCCTCACCATCGTTCCCTGCTGGGCAGAGAGAGATTCCAGCAGGGGCTGGGTGGCAGTGACGACCTGGGAGAAGGTGGAGAATTCCACATGGAGACTCGGCCTCCCCAGGGCTGTCCCGGGGCACAACCAGGATCCCTGCTGACCCAAAATCCTCCTCTGCAAATGTCTCCTGGGGAGTCTCTTCACCTTGGATCCCAAAATGGAAATCACCCATGAAACATGGATCGGTAGTGCACGTACCTGAACCCTCTCCACTAGGGAGTGCAGGGCTGTCTTGTGCGAACGTGTTCAGAATCCCTCCACTAACCCACACTTCCTGCCACAGCCAGCTGCCTGCCCCAGCAGCACCCTCTGAGGAAGGCAGGCCCTTCTGCTCTGAGTCTCTTATCTCTCTGCTGTCCACTGCAGGCCGTGCTCTGCACAGCAGCCAGAACATCCTGACCCCTCCCCTCCCTCCTGCTCAGCCCCTCCCAGGGGCTCCCATTCCATCCAGAGCAGAAGCTGAAGTCCTTGACACCCTATGATTTTTAAATTAAGTGCATGTTTTTTAATTAAAAGTTTTCCACGTGTAGTATGTATTTTTACATATTTTGAAGAATATGTCTTGTTTTTTATTTCTGATTGTAGACAAATTTAAAATGAAAAAATGCATAAATGGGTAATACATGAATAATTTATAGTAGTGATCACATATGTTGCTTAACATGAATGTAAATACTTCTGGATGTGTTTGGTCACATAATGTACCAAGTGCCTTAAAAATGTTTCATCCTTTTACCACAAATTCGACAGGCAGGAATTACTCTCAAAACACACATAAAAAAATGAGGCATTAACACAAAGGTTTCTGTTGAAGGCTGTTCAACATAGAGAAATCTACAAGAGCAAAATACAGACACAGTTTAAATGCCTACATTGCATTCAATGTTGTTACAAACAAAAAGAAAACCTTTTTTAAAAACATGATTACTTAGCCAACAACCAACATAATTCTCAGTGGTGAAAAGCTGAAAGCTTTTCTGGTGGGATCAGGAACAGGAAAGAGATGCCCACCGTGGCCACTTTCACTGAGGATGGTACTGGGGGTGTAGCCCCCGGTCAGACTGGACAAAGAAAGGAAAAGCATACAAACCAGACAGGAGGAAGTTAGACTCTCACTACATGCAGATCACATGACACAATGTACAGAAAAGCCTGAGGACTCCACCAAAAAGATAAACTACTAGAACTACTAAGTGAACTCAATAATGTTGCAGGATACAAAATCAGAAACTTGTTGCATTTCCAACAGCAACACTGAATAATCAGAAGGAAAAAAAGT